GGCTCTGCTGCTCCTGAGCTTGCTCTGTTCCTGAGCCTGCTCCCAGGCACTGTCAGGATACAAAATGCAGGTGCCTCCAAGGCTTTGGCTCCTCTTGATGTGGCCAGAACCAGTGTTTACATGTAACAGCTGTCAAAGACGTCCCCACTCCTAACAGCGCTGTCCCTTCCCACAGGGAGTACACGCTGGACGTGTACCGCCTCTCGTCCGTGGTGACACAGCACGATGCGAAGAAGGCAGGAGCAGAGGTGGTGAAGCAGGTGGAGCACCCCTTGCTGAGTGGTTTGCTCTACCCGGGCTTGCAGGTGCGTGGCGAGGCAGAATCATCAGAGCCTTTTGGCTGGGGATGTGCTGGGCGAAGCCAGGACTGCAGAGATGTGTGAGGCTGAATGCCAAGGTTGCTCCACCCCAATATTACACCTGGTAGCAGCACAAAGCATGACCCGAGCACGGAGCTGCTTTTACAGCGACTCTGGGCAGCTGCAGGACAGCAGGCAGGCAGAGAGTTCCCGTCCTTCTTGGGGCTGGGCAGATCCTGGAGGGTGGGCAGCACCTCTGAAGGTTAAGCACAGCTGGAGCGTGGAGCCTGGGGTCCAGTCTCAAGGCTGTGCGTGTCTCTGCAGGCCCTGGATGAGGAGTACCTCAAGGTCGACGCACAGTTTGGAGGAGTTGATCAGAGGAAGATATTCACCTTTGCAGAGAAGGTGAGGAACGGGGGGTGCTGAGCTCCCTGCAACGCTGGTGTCTGGCTCAGGGCTTGAATGCTTGCTAATCCACTGGGAGAAGTGCATTTGTGGTTTTTGTTGGCACCACAGGGCTCTTCGCAGCTCCTGCTGCTGCTCTCATGGTCTGTGGGGCTCTGGTGTGCAAAATAGCACTGCCATGCGTCCCTGGCTGGGGCTGTCAGCACCCTGTGAGCCTGTCACAGCTTTCTGGGTCCTCAAGTTATTGGGAGCCAGGAGCAAACAGAGACTGTGGATTAAAGCCAGTCTTCAGAAGAGGATTGTCCCTGACTTGCCTCCTTGCTTTTTCCCAGTACCTTCCTTCCCTGGGCTATGCCAAGCGCGTCCATCTGATGAACCCGATGGTTCCCGGTCTGACAGGCAGCAAGATGAGCTCGTCAGAAGAGGTTGGTCCCTGAACGGTGGCTGCGGTCAGGGGTTCTGCAGGGGGATGGGTTAACGGCTGGGGGCAGAGAGGCTGCACCCCAAGGGAAAGTGGCTTCTCTCCACTCACGCCAGGTTATAAGAAGAAGTTGCTGCAACTCCAGCCCGATCTGTCTCTTTTGGGAAAGAAGTTGGGTAAAGGGCTGGGAAATCTCTTCCTGTAGGACTCAAAGATTGACCTTCTGGACCGCAAGGAGGACGTGAAGAAGAAGCTGAAGAAGGCTTTCTGCGAGCCAGGGAATGTGGAGAACAACGGTGTCCTCTCCTTCATCAAGCACGTCCTCTTTCCCCTCAAGTCAGGTGAGGAGCTCGCCACGCTCAGACACTGGTTTTTCCTGGGGGTGAGAGGAGGGGATGGAAGCAGGTGTCCCCTGTGCAGTCCCTCTCGGCTCTTGGGCTGATTGGGGTGGGTGGTTTTATCTGGCTGAGCAGAGGGTGAGTCTCTGCTTGGGTTAATCTGAGCCTTAAAATCTGTGTGTTGCAGAGTTTGTGGTTCTGCGTGAAGAAAAATGGGGTGGAAACAAAACCTACACAGCCTATGAGGCCCTGGAGAAGGACTTTGCTGAGCAGGTGAGTGCCAGGAGGGACCAAACCCTGTCCTGGGGCTCCAGAGAGCGATCTGGAGGGCTCTGAGCAGCACTGGGAGATGGAAATCTGCACCGGGGGAAGGTGTGGAGCAGAGCGTGGCCCAGGGGCTGTAGGGTGGCAGGGTGCTCCCAGCCAGGAGAGCCCAAAGGTGAGAGGATGGGTGAAGCTGTCCCGGTGCAGGACAGGACCACGTCAGCCCATCTGTTTGTCATGATACAGCAGGAACCCGTCTGTTTGTCGTGATACAGGTCGTGCATCCTGGAGACTTGAAGAACTCGGTGGAAGTAGCCCTGAACAAACTGCTTGACCCCATCAGAGAGAAATTCAACAGCCCGGAACTGAAGAAGCTGACCAACGCTGCGTATCCCAACCCATCCAAAGCCAGTAAGGAGCTGCTGGGAACTGGGGGAAGCGGGGCCCTGGCGACACAGGGCTGAGTGGGAGAGCGTCCGCCTAGGAAGCAGCCCTGGAGAGGATTAGGAAGGGTGAGGAAAAGCCAGTGCCAGCCCTGTTTCCCTGTCTCAGAGAGGAGTGGGTGCTTCTCTGGTGCTTGAAAGGCTGACAAAGTGAAGGGGCTGCTCTGTGGGAGAGAGACAAGCAGGGCATTCAGTGGGCCCCAGGGCCAGCATTTGGGGGTCACCATGTGCTCCCCAGGACTTGCCCAGCCCCCTGGGTTTATGCTGAGTGGCACGGCTGTTCACTGTGCACTGCAGAGCCTGCAGAGAAGGGCACCAAGAACTCGGAGCCGGAAAACGTGGTCCCCTCCCGGCTGGACATTCGCGTTGGCAAAGTGATCAGCGTGGAAAAGGTACGGGGAGAGGGGAGGGAGCTTCTCACATGGTGACCTGAGCACTCGGGGGGTGTGTGAGGTCTGGTCTGCCCCCTTCTTTGCCACCCCAGTCCCCTCCCCTACTCCTCACCTTGCTTCTGTTTGGCAGCACCCGGATGCTGACAGCCTCTACGTGGAGAAGATCGACGTGGGCGAGCCCGAGCCCCGCACCGTGGTCAGTGGCCTGGTGCAGTTCGTCCCCCAGGAGCAGCTGCAGGACAGGCTGGTGGTGCTGCTCTGCAACCTCAAGCCCCAGAAGATGAGGGGTGTGGAGTCGCAGGGCATGGTGCTGTGTGCCTCCAGGTGAGGGAGGGGGGCGTGGGAGGCCGTACCCCTCCAGGGCTGCAGCCCACACCCCCCCTTCTGCTGCCCCAGAGCCCCGCAGTGCTGAGGGGTACGGCCTTGGGGTGACTCTGCTTCCT